TTCGTTGCCTTTTTGATTGAAGTGAGTACTACACTCATAAAAATAATTTTCTACATTTTAGAAAATCGCCCTACAAAAATTTTTGCCCTTGAACTGAGAAAAATTTTCTATTTTCACGAAAAATTTGCCATAAATTCAAGGCAGGTGACCATAAAAAAAATTTTTAGGGTTAATTTTTCTATTTTTCTAATATTTAGGGCGATTTTTTTCGATTTGCTTCGTTTTGACCTTTTCTAAATCCAACGGCGAATGCCCTAATTTTTTTTCTAAAATTTTTCTAAATACAAGGGCGATTTGCGTTAAAAATCACTCCAAAAGTGTGAAATTCGGTAGCTCAGCGGTCTAATCACTTGCGCTTTCAACTTTGCTATATGAGGACTAAGGTCGTGGGGTTGTGGGTTCGAACCCTGTGTGATTTAACTTGACTTAACTTTAAGGACATTTTTTCGTCCGAATTTTAAATTAAAGTAGTCTTTAAACCTTAAAAACGTATGGGAGTTCTGAGTTAAAAGCATTCTTTGTGTTTGCGGGCAAGAAAACGGGACTAATTGTCACAGTCGTCAGGAAAAAAATATACGGTTTAGTTGCCTTTAGTCAAATTATAACGTAGACCTCAAGAAAATAAAATGTGTGAAGAGTTTGTTCGTCGTCTTGCGCGATGGGTCTGTGGTGCAGCGGTAGGACGTTAGACTCTAAACCGAGAGGTCGTGGGTTCGATTCTCGCAATGACCAAAAAAAGTAAGTTGTTTTTTCTCCTCATATTTATTTCCCTAATTCGTTTACAAACATGATTTTTCAGTTCTAACGGCTGTGCTGTATAGATCGGGCCCCCTCTTAACGCAGCTCCCATATAAGCTACGCACCAATACAATAATATGAAACGGTGTACTCCGCCGGTGTTGTTTAATTAAAGCAGTCCCAGTTCCCAGAATATACACGATTAAAATACATGCTTCCCAAATTCAGTTAAGCATGCTCAAACACGATTTTTTTTAATTTGTCTAATTTATTAGGGCATTTGCCTTTAAAAACAGAAAATTCGCCCTTAATTTTAGAAAAATTCACCTTAAAATTAGGGCAAATCACCCTAAAAACAGAAAAATATTTCTCAATTCAAGGAAAATCACCCTAAATTAAACCAAATTTCCATAGGGATTTTTTAGAAAATTTTTCTAATACACGGGCGAATTGCCAGCGGATACGATTTATGGGCGCTTTTCTAAATCCACGGGCGAAAAGTCAGTTTTTTAGTGCAATTTAGGGTAAAAATTTCTATGAGTGTAGGCCTTAGGGAAAACTGAAAAATTATTTTTTTTGAAAAGTCCCAAAAAACGACATTTTGAAAAAGAGGTCTGTAAGTTGAGACACTTTTAAAAGTATAATAATACTTACACAAAAAGTACTCCAAACTATAAGGAACTATTTATTTATGTTAATTTAATCAATTTTAGATGGCCCTAAATTATTTCCCATCCATTTTTTAAGAACTTAGACCAAATAACAATTAAAATCAAAAGGCTCTTTGAACATTCCCTTTTCCCCTAATATCAAAGAAATGTTCTAGGCAGAAAGCGACCTCTGTTGGCCTAAGGCCTTTTTGTATGAAAAACGGGTGTCTCAACTTACACGCTCAAAGTGTCTGAATGGGGGATGGGATGGGATGTTTCGGGAAAAAATTAATTACTTTTGTTCTGACTGCCACATCAGGCTGATTCTTTTTTTAATTAGTTAACAGTTAATATACTAATGTTTTAAATCTCTTACCAAGTTAATTTAAGAACGTTATTAATTTTAAATGGAATTTTGAAAAAAGTAGACCAAAACTTTTTTGGTGAAAAATGGTACACGACTCTCACAGCTTTAATCTGGCTAGATCCTGTCTTATAATGTTTTCTCCAAAAGTTTTGTCACTAAAAAGGACTACAAAACAAAATATAAAAACAATTTTTTTAGTGGATAAGTTCTGAGAAAATTGAGTGTCTCAACTTACAGACCGTCTCAACCTACAGACCTCTCCCCTACTAAAAAAATGACACCGGCTAGAGGCTCTTTGACACCAAAAAGGGTCAAATTAATATTTTCGAAAGCATTAAAGTGACAACAGAACAGCTTCAACTTGATGACCTTCGGATCAAGGACATTTTGAAACTCAATAGTGTCACATTGACACCTAAATAGGGGCATATCGATGACTATTTTTTTTTAGGTGTAGCCTTCTAATAAAGCAAGCTTATGAAGTTCAATAGAGGGAAGGAGAAAAACGATTGTTCTTACTTTAGAAACTTTTGTATATATTTGAAGGGTAAAATACTGGAAGTGAGGGGCTTTGCAATCAATGTTGTACTGTCTCTTTAAAGGAAATAGGGTAATAGTCTAGAAGAGCGGCCTGAGCACCAAAAACCGCGAAAAAATTACCCTCGATGGACCGCGATTTCTTAGGAATTTACGTGCAGAAGATTATTTGCGGAAATGCATGGTTCTCTTGTAATTGCATTTCAAAGTTGCGTGTTTTGCTATAAAAACAAAGTAGGATTTTGAGGTGTTTTGTGTCATTTTGCTATAAAAACAATGTAGCATTTTCTAGGAATTTATGGGTTTGCTATAAAAAACAAGTAGGCTTTTGTTGCTTAATCAGAAATGGCACTTTTGATTTTTGTTTACTATGGATTCCTGCAACGGGTGCACTATTTCTTATAAAGACTTTCTTGCCATGGACGAAGAAGAAGTGTTTGCATTTCTGCAGAGACATGGAGTTGTTCTAAAGAGCAAGGACTGTCCCAACTGCAGTAAGCCCGCAACATTGTCTTTCAATGCGAAGAGACCGATTAGTACGGGAAGAACTAGGCTGGTCCCAACAGACGGTGGTTGATTGGAGTAATTTTCTTCGAGAAATTTATCTTAGCTGGACGAAGAAGAACGCAAAACAAATAATAGGTGGAGACGGTTTAACCGTCGAAATTGACGAAACCAAAATTGGCCGGCGCAAGTATAATTGCGGTCGCGTGGTGGATGGCCAGTGGGTTTTCGGAGGAATTTGCAGAGAAACCGGTGACTTTTTTTTGGTGCCTGTGGAGGACCGTAGCCAGGAAACGCTCCTTCCAATTATAGAGGCCAACATCGCCAATGGAACCAGAATTATATCCGACTGCTGGAAGTCATACAATGGTTTAAAGGATGCGAACTACTCTCACATGACCGTTAATCACTCAGTAAACTTCGTCGACCCTGAAACGGGAGCCAATACACAGCGAATAGAGAGACTATGGCGTGATCTAAAGGAGAACATTCCCCACTATGGCCGGAAAACGGAGCACTACCAAGGGTACCTAGCGCGATTCACTTTTTTGAAAAGGCACCCAAACCACACCTCAAGATTCCATGCAATTTTCTCAGCAATGGGCGAATTGTTTAATCCTGAACGCGATGTTAGTATTTAAAAAGAGATGGGAAATGCGCCGGCCAATTTCGGTTTCGTCAATTTCGACGGTTAAACCGTCTCCACCTATTATTTGTTTTGCGTTCTTCTTCGTCCAGCTAAGATAAATTTCCCGAAGAAAATTACTCCAGTCAACCACCGTCTGTTGGGACCAGCCTAGTTCTTCCCGAAGGAATGAGATTGTTGAACCCTTCATCTCCCAAGCCACAAAATTACAGGCCTGTTCAATGCCAACGTGGGACTTGCTGAAGAATGTCCGTTTGATGGCGGATTCCTTACAAATATAATTTAAAGCAATATTTTGTTCAAATTAAACAATTGTTACCTTAAAGGAGCATTGAAATTTTCTTAATTTCCGTTTCTGTTGATGATTACTTATCATCCTGCGGCACCTCCAAAATGGCGTACTAATCGGTCTCTTCGCATTGAAAGACAATGTTGCGGGATTACTGCAGTTGGGACAGTCCTTGCTCTTTAGAACAACTCCATGTCTCTGCAGAAATGAAAACACTTCTTCTTCGTCCATGGCAAGAAAGTCTTTATAAGAAATAGTGCACCCGTTGCAGGAATCCATAGTAAACAAAAATCAAAAGTGCAATTTCTGATTAAGCAACAAAAGCCTACATGTTTTTTATAGCAAACCCATAAATTCATAGAAAATTCTCATTGTTTTTATAGCAAAATGACACAAAACACCTCAAAATCCTACTTTGTTTTTATAGCAAAACACGCAACTTTGAAATTCAATTACAAGAGATTTTTTTTTTTAATTTTTTTGCTTCCGGCGCTTTTTTAGCATTTCCCATTTTTTAAATCCACCGATACGGACAATGAAAAGGAATAGGCTTAATCTGTACCACTAACCAGCATTTTTTATAAATAAATATTTACTGTCCAATCATTAACCATAGTTTAATATAGCATTTTATTTACTATTACAAATGAGTTACAAGTATAAGGAGGTACTGAACTAAAAACTCTCGTAATTGGCTTTGATAAAGACTAAGGTTGATCCTCCTCGGATTGCGATTTCTTAAGATTCATCTTAAAAATGTATATGTTGGTCATCCATGGTCGCCCAAGCTCTTAAGGAATCACGGTCCATCGAGGATATTAATGCGCGGTTGTGGGGTCTGGCCTGCTATAAAAACAATTTCACATTTTTGTCGAATTTTTTCGAACGCTTATTATTTTGACAACAAACGGAAAGCCCATATGTTTTTTATAGCAAAATGACACAAAACACCTCAAAATCCTAGAAAATCCTACTTTGTTTTTATAGCAAAACACGCAACTTTGAAATGCAATTACAAGAGAACAATGCATTTCCGCAAATAATCTTCTGCACGTAAATTCCTAAGAAATCGCGGTCCATCGAGGGTAATTTTTTCGCGGTTTTTGGTGCTCAGGCCGCTCTTCTAGACTATTACCGGAAATAGGTTAATGTAACGTTATAATTTTTAAGACCCTATCTTGAAAACTATAGTTAAAACTATATACAGTTAATGACGAAAATAATAGCATTTATCCCCAAAGTAGGCATTTGAAAATGGGGGTGTATCAAAACGTTTTTTAATTCTGTCGAGAGCTGTGAAAAATTCTGCAGTTTGGATGTTCTTGTTGGCATTTTTTAAGGGAAATTTGTTCTTACCATCAATGAGTCACCCCTTTGGACCTAATGGACCCTACTTCTGGCGACCCTGTCAGCGGGATCGTTTTCCCAGTCTGATCGATGCTATGGGCGTCACGGGGGATGGTCTGGTGTCCAGCCTGGGAAGCTCGGAAATCGCAGATATGGGCTCTCGCATGAAAAGGGGTCGCTTGAGTACTTGCGAAGCCGAAAAGCGAGCGACCCAAGCGGCATTGAAAGCGAACCTACCACCGCCAAGACTATATTTACGCTCCACATCACGGGGATGGCGTCGGGCCATCGATATTTTCATGCCACGATTTCAACCAGACGAGAACATGGTCTCCTCAGAGGGGGATCAGTGGTCAGAGGACCAAGCGAAGTCCTCATTCAAGGAGCGATTGATATCAGTGGCAAATAATCTGCAGCTTCCGGCTGCCCCTCGGCAAGTGGACGAACTACCCTACACAGGCACCTGCCCACACTGCCAGCAACTAGGCAGTGATGACGTAAAGAACGACGACCGCGGTCGCTTCATGGCACGCCGCATCTTCCAAAACATTGATCTATTGTAAGTAGTTCCTCTGCAGTCTGGCGCGTTCAAGGTCAGACTTTTCGGGCACTTATTCTGATAGTAACGAAAACTTGCTGCGGCACTTGTGCAGCTGGGAATACATGAATTGAATAAAAAAGAAAAACCAATGCTTTCAACATCTGGTTTTAATTATAATAGCTAGGGGATGGGGTCAGCAGTAATTATTCTCTTGTTCTCGATACAGTGGCGTCTCACAGTTGTCAACGAAGAAGCAGACGATGGAGAAGGCGTCAGCGATCAGAGTCTTTTTAGGATAAAACAAAAACAAACGCAGAAAAACATTTTTTTTACTACACTTAGGGAAAAACCCCAGTCTAAATTTACGAACAAAGTTCTTAATTTTAGAAATTTTGGTTCGTGAATTTTGTTCTTACAATAAGAGCAAACGTTCTTAAAAGAAGAGCCAACATTCCTAAAATAAGACAATTTTATTCTTAAATGTTGTTTTAAAACTAACTAACTATCAATTTTTTGTCCAATAATCTACGAGAGAAAATTAATTAAAAAAAAAAACTATTTAATACAATAACGAGGACGGAACTAACATCGGCAAGCCGAAGTTTTAATACCCTTGCAGATTTCACGAATGAAAACTTGATTAAAATAGCAACATGAATTAATTAAAAACCAAATATTCTCTAATTGAAAAAAAAAAAAAACTAAAATTTTTCACCCTATTGTTCCTATGGGAGCTATATGATATAGACGTCCGATCGGCACGCGCTTTTACCCTGATCAAGGTATGCGTAAAAGAATAAGATTCATGTCAAAAGCTCTTACACTGGCGAAATATCTTCATTTTGTGAAAGCTATATCCGATTGTTCCTATGGGAACAATCTATATGTCTGTCCGTCTATATGTCTGTTTCAATACCGTTTGCGAACTCAGTTTAAAAGCTAGCGCCTTAAAAATTTCACAGTCGTCCTAAAACATGTGTACGCAGATCAAGTTTGAAAACCGACCCGATCGGACGTCTATATCCTATAGCTTCCATAGGAACAATCGGATATAGCTTTCACAAAATGAAGATATTTGGCTCAGTGTAAGAGCTTTTGACATGAATCTTAATCTTTTACGCATACCTTGATCAGGGTAAAAGCGCGTGCCGATCCGACGTCTATATCTTATAGCTCCCATAGGAACAATAAGGTGAAATCTGTACAAATTTGACGTTTTTCAGGATATTTCGCGCATAATATAAGCTATTCCCATGAAACTTTCCAAATCGTATTACTTTATGCTTACCTTGGTCAAGGTAAAAGCGCGGACGTCTATATCATATAGCTCCCATAGGAACAATAGGGTGAAAAATTTTAAATTTTTATTTTTCAATTATAGAATATTTTGTTGTTTATTAATTCTGGTCAAGTTTTCATTCATGAAATCTGCAAGGGTATTAAAACTTCGGCTTGCCGAAGTTAGCTTCCGTCCTCGTGATCAAATTAAAATTGACATTCCGAAATATTTAAAAAGAATCATGCCCTAGAGTAGAAGAGAATACAATAAAAACCAAAGAAGTGTTTTATTATTTTCCCATTTATTTTCCGATCGTTCCTATGGCAGCTATATGATACACACAAAAAAATTTGCTTGGTAAAATTGACCAACAAAGATGGTTACGTAACTATTAAAATAGTTACGTGTATTTTGTTTTTGCTTTGGGTTTGTGTCTTTGCTAATTGTGTGTATTTTGTTGTTGTGAAATGACTATTTACTTAGTAGAATTGACAATTTTGCTGGTTGGGGCCTGTTTGACAATTATTACAGTTGATTTTACTAAGTTTTTTTTTTGTGTGTATAGTCGTCCGATTTTTTAAATATTTAATTCTAAATTCAGAAATATTTAAAAAATAATATCCCCAAGAGTAGAGGGTAATATTTAAAAAAAACACCAAAGCTAGAATTTTTTTAACGTTATTTTACCGAACCTTCCAACACACAAAAAAAAAAATGGTAAAATCAACTGTAATAATTGTCAAACAGGCCCCAACCAGCAAAATTGTCAATTCTACTAAGTAAATAGTCATTTCACAACAACAAAATACACACAATTAGCAAAGACACAAACCCAAAGCAAAAACAAAATACACGTAACTATTTTAATAGTTACGTAACTATCTTTGTTGGTAAATTTTACCAAGCAAATTTTTTTGTGTGTATGAGAGCAATAAGATATAATTGTCCGATCCGGTCGGATCCGACTTTTAAACTACTTTTGGGAAAGTTTCAAGCCGATAGCTTAAAAACTGAGAGACTAGTTTGCGTAGAAACGGACAGACAGACAGACGGACAGACATACACACAAAAAAAAAACTTGGTAAAATCAACTGTAATAATTGTCAAACAGGCCCTAACCAGCAAAATTGTCAATTCTACTAAGTAAATAGTCATTTCACAACAACAAAATACACACAATTAGCAAAGACACAAACCCAAAGCAAAAACAAAATACACGTAACTATTTTAATAGTTACGTAACTATCTTTGTTGGTCAATTTTACCAAGCAAATTTTTTTGTGTGTACACACAATGTGAGTGTAAGTTTCTACTTGCAAATAGATATTATCTAATGATAATATCGGGTGCCCCGACTATCAGATACCCGTTACTCAGCGAAAGGGATTGCGAAGGAGATGGAAATAAAAACTTTGATCCGCCGTAACTTTTTAACGAATGGTCCGATTTAAAAAATTTCTTCTACATTTCGATAGGTATTGATAAACACAATAAAACTGCAATTTTACTTTCCCAAAATATTGAAATTTTTAAAATCGTATATAGCCGATTGTGTTAGAGGGGGCGTGGCACCCTTTTGAAACAAACTTGTGCTGCGTAGGAACTCCTAGAATCTGCATGCAAAATGTCAATCTTCTAGCTTTTATAGTTTCCGAGATCTCCGCATTCATACGGACGGACAGACATACAGACAGATGCAAAATTTGTCGAGTTTAAAATAATAAATAATAATAATATTAAATTAATTGAAGTAAGTCATTTACCATGAAACGTGACAAGTAAATTTTTTAAAAATAGTTTTAGAATGAAGCTCTGACTTGGAAATTCAAGCAGCACTTGAGACTCGTTTGAGTTTTTTTAATATTTGATATGGAACTTGGGATAGCTTAATATTTTTCAATTCTTCAAACAAAAAATATTTTTTTTGCACTACAGTAATCATTTGGTGATTACGTAATGTAGGTTAGTACAAATTGATAATGTTTATTTCGGATATACATATAAAAAAGTAAATTAAACGAACAAAGGTTTTGTATTAATCTTCACGACATTCGCACTCTATGGATGACACGACTTGCTTTCTTCAATATTCGCAATCGACTGGCTCAAACTTAAATTATTAAAGCGCAATTTCAATTAAGAAGAGGGTGATGGCTATAGACATTCTTTGATGAAAAGAGACGGTTCTATCTGGCGTTTTGGCTGATGAAATAAGCTACGAGGCTGTGGAATTCTAAACAGTGTGTCCCCATATGAAACTAAATAGGCTGCTTAATACCTTAATATACCCATATCCCACAATCGGCCATCCTGAATCTTCATTCGCCCCTGAATGGTCCCTCCTGATTACCTTCTTTCTTTACTTCATAACGCCCGTGATTAAGTTTTTTAGTTACTTTGTAAGGGCCGAAAAATTTTGGACAAAGTTTCATTCCAGTTCCATACTGTGTCCTTTTTATGGCAACTAATTCTCCTACGGCATATTCAGTTTCTACCTTCCTTTTTTCGTTAAAACTTTTCTGTTTTCTTGCTGCACTTTCTCTATGTTCTGCTGAGCTTTCTTTCGTATCTCTTCACGTTCTTCATTTAGTTTTTCTATTTCTAAGTCTTCAAAAACTTTCAAGAACTCGTCGTCCCTCTTTCTCATATTCAATCCGGTCAAGATTTGGAACGGACTGTACTTGGTGGTTCGAGGTGGAGTGTTGTTAATTATCTGCTGAACTCTATCTACGTGACGATACCAATTCTGCGGGTTTTCCTGACAAATTTTGCTCAGCATCGGAATGACAATTTTGTGGATTCTTTCCACTTGGCCGTTACCTCTGGGTACGCCTGTGGTAATGTGCAGAAGCTGGATTCCTTCGCGGTTGCAGTACTCGTTAAAGAGTCCTGAAGTGAAAGCTGTTCCCCTGTTGGTAACTATGCGGCGAGGATTGCCGAAAACTGCTGCTTGCTTTTCCAGTTTTTCCAAGACTTCTTCGGTTCCAGTCGATTTTGTTGGATAAAGCCACACAAATTTGGAAAATCCATCCACGACAGCCAAGATGTGGTTATAGCGTTTCTTCGTGTCGGTTAGGGGTCCAACGTGGTCGATGTGATAGGTTCCGAGAGGTTCCTGAGCCTTGTCAATGGGACTGAGTAACCCTTCCTTTTTCCCACGCTTGGAGTCGATGATCAAGCATTCCACGCATCCTTTGACAACTCGTTCTACCTTCTGTTGGATACCAGGGATATAATACGATTTTTCCAGGATATCGCGAGTCTTTTTTACACCAAAGTGGCCCTCCCTGTGTGCTACGCTGATAATTTCGTCTTCCATTGTCTCTGGAACAACTAACAGCTCAAGAACTGCGTCTTTGTACAGGATATTTTTTTTTAGGAAATAATCGTCGTAGTCGTCGTTGTTGGTTAATATGGTTTTCACAGCTTTTATCCAGCTGTCGCTGTCTTGTGCCTCCACTAAACGTGATTTTGTAGAATCGTCGATTAGAAAGCATGACAAACGGCTCAATGCATCCACGTGCCTCATCTTTGTTCCAGCCCTGTGCTCTACCTTAAATTCAAACTCTTGCAGAGCCATGGCCCACCTGGCAACTCTTGGTGGTAGATCATCCTTCTTGATCGTCATTGCGAAAGCGTTGCAATCGGTAACCACGGTAAAAGCCTTTCCAAGCAGGTAAACTCGCCATTTTTTTAACGCATTCACGATTGCTAAAACCTCGAGCTCGTAGGAACTGTACTTTTCCTCACAATTGTTTGTTTTCCTGCTCATAAACTCAACAGGATGAAACTGCTGATCCTCCGAGTCCCTTTGCATTAAAACCCCTCCGAAGCCATATTTGCTTGCATCTGTGTGAACTTCGGTTGTAGCCATCGGAT